AAAAAGATCTCGAAATCACGAAAAAAGCTCTGCCTCCGAATCATCCCTCATTAGCTACTTCCTACAACAATATCGGTTTGGCGTATTACGGCAAAGGAGACTACTCAAAAGCACTCTCATTCTTAGAAAAGGCACTTTCTATCTGGCAAAAATCACTTCCACCTAACCATCCTAATATTATAACAGTCAAAAATTCAATTGACTATGTTAAAAAGAAAATGTAACTGTAATTTTTTTTTCGCTTGCTCAATAAATTTATTCACATTGCTAATCGTTTCGATTTTTCTCGGCTCATTTTGGCTTACCCGCGCGCGCGCAACAAGGGAGAGATCCCTTGTCAATGCCATAGGTACCACAGGCGGACCGCGCCGGACTGGTAGGGCAATGGCCAAAGGTATGCCGTATGAACGGTAGAGACCAACGACACATAGAGGCCTTCCCTAGTGCTACAGTGCTTCGCTATGGCAAAGTTCCTCTGCCTATTGAATCAGACAACGTAGCTATCTGACCCACATTGATAACTCAACTCAACTCATCTCAAATAAACTCATACTCATAAATAACTGACAGTATTTATTTTTTCTCGAAAGAAGTTATCTCAACTTAACTCAACTCAGCATGTAAAAAAAAAATTTTTTTCCTACCTCTCAATATTGTATTGTAGTTCATCTAAAAAAAAAGTATTGTTAAATATAAAAACAAGTAATTTACCTTATTTAAAATATAATAATATCATTATCATCGTAAATAATATAATAATAAATAATGTACCCGGGTATATAATTACATTGTAATGCATCATATTGAGAAAACACGAATGTAATGTTTTATGATGATGCATCGATGTTTTTATATACCCAATGGTTAATTGATTGATTTTTTATCAATCATTCCACACACGTGAATTGATATGTTCAACACGTCACTCTACATAATTGATTTGATGATCAATTTTTATGTAGTGATATGTGTATGTTTTTTTAATTTCTTTTTTTCATTTAACGTATATCAATATCATTTTGTCGTCGAAAAAAAAAATATTCACCTTATATATACAGGATGCGGGTTGAAGAAAATATTAACATTCACATTCATGCGCAACTATTCAACATACACAAGAGGTAACTTCGTTCAAATTTTTTATTTATTGATTCAGCTAAAAATTGTAGAATGTTGTATAGAGAATCGGAAACTTGTTCACGTAGATAAATTTATATGGAAATCTTATAATTAAAATTTCTGAAATATCTTAAAGAACATTGTTTCTTTTTGATGAAAATGGCACGTCTTTTGATTTATCGTAGAATAAGAAAAATGAAAAAATCTAATTCATTTAAAAATATTTTTTTAATTTAGATTTTATTAAATCTTCAAATATTTCTTTACAAGTACTATTAAACAATTCTTTAATTAATATTCATATAATAAGCATTCGACAATCAATGATTTATTCATTTGGATTATTTCATATACCAATCCATAGAAAATACTTCAATATGAGGATAAAAAAAACACGAATTCGATCTATTCTGTTTCATAGTTTTTATTTAACTAAAAAAGTAATCCTAAAAAAATATGTTGACACGAACGAAAGTGATTTTCAAGTTGTTGTACTCGATTCATTTATTCAATCACTTTTAATTAATCTTAATTATAATATACTAAAGACTGATAAAATTTCTTGTATGTGTAATCTATTGCATATTTTTGAATAGAATTTTCTTACTCGTATTATCAATAAACTTGAAATAATTGAAGAAACTAGCAAACTATGATAAATCATCAAATCATCGTCTTGCAAAATTCCTTAAAAGCAAGTAAACATTACCTACAACCTATGGTAAGAAGAAAAGAAAAAAATATATTTTCAAGTAATATACGTTTTGTTGATTTATAGTTACATGTTACTATTGCGTCATCTAAGGTTATTTTTCTTCCTTTGATAACCTTGGATATCACTTTACTTTTTGTTTCAGATAGGATAAATCACTTTTGAATATTTATTCTACATAATTAATAAATTTTATTTTTGTATCATTATTTGAATTATGATTTGATTAATTGATCCATTTATCGTTATTTTTGCGAGCATTAGCAAATAGAAAGATTCGTCTTTTTTTCTTTTTACTTATGAAATTTTTCTAAAGTTTAAATTTTTTTTTAGAATACCAATCCCCAACCTTCAAATCAATGGTTAATGAATATAATTAGAATTGTTCGATGTCTTGTACAAAATCGAAATGATATTAATTTACATGTTTATTTATGGATATTATCGATAATGGTAATGAATCAAAATAATAATTTATTTGTAGATATCAATATGATAGTCAAGCAATAAAAACCTCACGTATAGTTATGAATAAGCACGCAAAAGTTTTCGATCGGTATGATTGATTTAAAAATCTCGATGTGAAACTTTAGAAGAAAAAGTTAAATAGATAAAAACTGACTATTAATGATAGAAAATCAGCTGCTTTTCGTTTTGACTTTAAAATTTCTATGATTTTATAAGATCTCTAATTTTATTTTAGCTAAACAATTCTAAATGATTTTCGTGAATTCTTAATTCATGATGGAACTATACATCGTCTTGATACATTTTCATATTCAGACATTTTAAGTGAATATATACCTTCAATTATTATTACAATGGATACACATTCTTATTATGCTTGATTATATACGAAAAGCATGATGATTATTATTGTTTTTATTTGAAAAATTAATACAAGTATATATGTACATCATTTTCTTGGCCTTATAGATCGTACATTAGCTGGAAATCATTTTACTTATTCAATCGATATATACTATTAGGAGTAATTTATTAAAACGAAATATATTATCATTAATATTGTTAAAATTCTTCGTGCATTTAAACGAATACATTTAGATGACAGTGGTCGTTTATTAGATTTATTGACTCAACGATTTCTTACATGACCATATATATGTCTAGATAGATAGATGGAAATTGACGACATTTCTCATTGAACATGAATCATTCAACAGTTAATATCGTCGATCTATGCGACGGTATATTGCTTACCATTTTTGAAAAACTCAATAATATCGATATATTATATTCAATCATAGAAATCAATCAAAGACTTGATAAATTGGCTCGAAATAGTATCTTTACACAATATGTTGATTTAGTAATAATATCATCGAATGAAGATAATGATTCAAGAATTAATTCATTAATATTCAATTGATTCTGTTCTTCAATAATACCACAAATTCAACACAGTATTAAATGTCTCACTTTAGGTCTATTGTTAACAGATCATATTCTTCTTATTGAAACTTATTGTAAACTTCATAAAGTTACTCTTATTAATCTTCTACTTAAAATAGCATCTAGTATTTTAAATCGTATACTATCTTATTTTCTCACTGAGTGAATAAAGAAACAAATTTGTTGTATATATTTAGATGGATCATTATTTATTCACAAATACAAACGTCAAATATCACATCTTAATATAATGATTAATGATGATAATACAGCTTTACGAATGAAAAATGTTGCTACCAATATTTTCACAAATATTCTTATGATGTTTACAAATTACAACATATTATTCATCAAGTATTATTTATTTGAATGTTAGAGTGCGTAATTTTAATGATTGTCTTTGTTTACTTGATGGATGTCTTAATCAATTGCATACATTTATTGTCAAAATTGATAATATTGATGATTTATCAATGACTGTTCAGAAAAAGGTAAATGATTTTGATTTATAAAAGAAGGTTTACTCTCGACTCGTCCCAAATTGGTCAATTAGACGATTTAGCTCTAAAATATTTTTCTCAATTCGTCCCTTACATAAATATACCGTTCTTAATTAATTCTCAACTCGACCCTAATTGGTTAGAAATCAAATAGTAATGTATTTTCATATCTTAGAGTTTTATCCCAAAAAAATTACAATACAATATCATAACTATATAATGGAGTATAGATTTCTACTGTCACTTTTTGAACAGTCGTTCGATACTTAAGAGATGAAGAAGAATAAAGATCGTGCGATAGGTAAGAGAAAACGAAGAAAGAAAAAATAAAATATGGTGCAATGTATAATGATACTGTCACTATACAACAGCCATCATGGAAGGGACGAATTGAGAATCAATTAAGAATGGTATATTTATGTAAGGGACGAATTAAGAAAAATATTTTAGAGCCGAATCGTCTAATTGACCAATTTGGGACGAATCGAGAGGATCCCATAAAAGAATGATAAAAAAAAATGATATAAATCCAAAGTTTCTCCTGTAAACATCAGAAGACTATTTTTTAGTCATAATATGACTTACTTTATATTAATTAAAATTTTTTTTTTGTAGAGAACTCTATCTAATCTACAATGTTTTTCGTTAATTTCAACTGATCAAACAGATAAGTATGATATTAGAATTGTATTACTTCTTCATCAAATGTCACAATTGGAAAAACTTACATTATCTCTTTTTGTGCTAAATCGAATTTCATTCATTGATGGTATAAATTATACAATTATTACGAACTTCTGATGATATTCAACGTACGTTTATTAAAAGAGGATATAGTGTTAATTATTATATTGATCGTTATTCATGAGAAATAAATCAATGTCATGTTTATTCACTTCCGTTCTCTATGGAATATATGTGTAATGTTGCGAACAATTTTTTTGGTGATTTATTTATGAGTGTTCGTCAATTGCAATTATATGATTTCTTTGCTCGAATTTCTCGAGCTTTTCCATTACTCAATATATTAAACGTAATCAGTCTTCATGGACAAAAGAAGAAGTTGACACATCAACAAAATGAACATAAACAAACATCTTCAATTATTGAATATCCTCATCTTATGTATCTCAGTCTTAATCGTGTATATGTTGACTATATCAAACAATTTCTTTTTGAATCAAATACATATCTACCATATCTGAACAAATTATCCGTTCAATATCAAGATTTAATCGATGCGATAGAGAATTTTACAAATAATGCTGAGAAAGTCAATTGTGCAAAATTGAAATACATTATTCTTTTTTCAAAACCATCAATGTATCCAGAAAATTTTCATGATTATTTTCCATCATTGATTAATAAATTGTTATTTTAATTCTATTTGTGCTATTTTAATTATCTACAATATTTTTATTGATGAATAAAAAAAAAACCTACCAAATGACTTTCTAATATGAATAATAGCACATATTCATAAGTTTTCTCTGAATTTTAAATATAAAAATAAATTATTATTTCTCCAAAAAAAATAATTATTTTTCTTACTTGATTGATTATGATAAATTAGATGTTTTAAATTGCATGAAATAATCGATGATACATTGAAATAACAAACAATATGACATTGTTTTAACTTGTTCAATCTGTTTACTCATAGATGTTGCACATTTTTGGCTATCAATATATGGTATCATATTCAAACATCCAATAGATATAATAAATAACTGTCAGTGATCTTAATCGTTCATTATTTGATATTTTTTGACTTCTTTTTTCATCCAATAATATCGATTCAGAACAAAAAAAAAAGTTTCGACAAATTCACAAGCAAAATCAAAATCATCAATATTTGGAACATGATATTCAACTCGAAGTTTATCAAAATCAACATGTTGTCCTCTTGTCTAAACAATGAATGATACAAATGTTGGATCTTATAAAAAAAGATTGAAACTTACATGAATAGGCAAAAAAAATCATTGAATGGTTCATCAATGTTTTCAACTGTAAGTCGATAATCACTTATGAGAAAGTGATTTGAGTAAATTATTAGCAATTGCTTCGCATGCATTTTTGTTAATTAGAGATATACAGGGTGTTTCAAAAGTCCCTGAGGAAAGTTTTTTTTATTTCATGTGACTATTGACTGAACTTCATCCAACAATTATTTTTGTGGATGATAGATAAATACACATAGTTTTGATTGCTACAGACAAATTTCAAAAGCATTGTTGAAAGCTAAGATCTTTAGTCGAAATACAAAAATTTACCCTGTTGTCTCTTTCCACAAATACTCATGGATGATGTATGTTTTAATTGCTTGAATTTTGATTTGACACCAATCATGTCGTGGGTGTGGGTGTGCATGAAAAGAACAACTACAACTAAACCCATACCCACACCCTCGAGAGCTATCGAAATCACTACTTACATTTGATTCAGCAGCTCATTTTCATAGAAAAAATTCGATGACAAGGGGGGGGGGGGCTATAATTTTGACAAGCCCTGTACTAGAAAAGTATTAGCCTGACACTAATGCCTATAGTTCCCGAAAACAGAACAAAACTGCTCTGTTATGGTAGTTTTTTCCCAAAACAGAACACTTTTGTTCCATTATGGGAAGCCATTCCCAATAAAAGAGCAAAAGTGTTCTGTTTTAGGAAAAAAATTACCATAATGATAATTAATTTTTTAATGTTAACACAAGAGCATTAAGTTAAATTTTTAATCTAATGCAAAAGTATTAGCATTTTCATAATACTAATACTAAGCCGACACCCCTAATTAAGAGCAAATCCTTGAATGGGCTAAAAACTACGTCTGGGCAAGATTTTTCATGCATTTCATTTTTGTATTTTGATTAAAGTTGCCTTGATACAGGCTATGAGAAAATCTTTTTATACACCAGTTTATAGAGCGAGACTTGTTCTATAAAATGTGCAATTTGTTAGTCTTGTTACAGACTGCTACAAAGAATCGAAATTTATTGTATTTTAAAAACCAAAATTCGAATGACAGGAAAAAGCCTATTGTGCTGGGTGCAAACATGTGGGTGTGAGTACGGATTCCTCTTCAACAGAAACCACACTCACATCCTCACATTGCGCTGATAGGATTAAAAGAAATACTTAGGATAATCATCGGTCAATTATTCGCTAGATGTCGTTTGCAAACAGAAGAAATTCAGTTTCTTGACTCCAGAATTAGAGCTGCATCGAATTTATCGATAATAGAACCGTGATAACTGAAAAAAACATCATGATCGAGACTGGGGACCAATGAAAAACTAATTGTTGAGACTGAATCGGGACGAGAGCCAGATCAGGTTTACCGGAACTATGATCGGGACCAATGGATAAAACGTTGCCGGAACCGTACTTGGATTGGCACTGAAAAAACGTGGTCATGATTTCGTTTTCGTAAATTTTCTATCGTTTCTATTATTTGTTGAAAAGTTTGACTTGTTCTATCATCATGATGTGTGATAAGAAAAAGAAAATGTTATGTTGCTGTTTATTTCGATGATGTCGACTACATAAAAGTGCGTCAATATAGTAGTGTCGTATTTGGAGTAAACAAGAACGTCTGCAAAGGTTTACGACATATCGTCACACATCAAATTCACCTGTGTTTTTTTCTCTCCGTTCTGTTCTTGCATCTTCTTAAAGAAAAATATTTGCATTATTACTTATTGAAACAAAGTGTTGCTTGACAGAACAATGTGGTACTCTGAGTCTAACAAAATTGATTTTTTATATAACATTGAGAGAAACTATTACAATCAAACCAAAACAAAGACGAAAAGAGATTGGTAGAAAAATATTTGTCTAAAAGTATCGATTTTAATTCTTTTGAGTTCTGCGATATTTTAGAAATGGCAACGAAGGAACCAAATTTAAGATCATGTATTGAAGAATTTTCTGCAAAGAATACTGATTATAAATTTCCTGAACAAGCAATAAATCAAGCTGAATCATTAAAGTCCTTATCAAGTGATTTATATACAGATAACATACGATTCATTTATGAATTAATATAAAATGCTGATGATGCTCAAGTAAAAAATATCACCCTAACAATTCGGGAAGACAAATATTTTATTATTACTCATGATGGTAATAAACGTTGTTTGTTTTATTTTCGATTTTTTACTTCTGTATAAAAACAAACGTTTTAAAACAGGATGCCCGAGTAATGACACTGGAAAATATAAATATTTCATGTAAGTCACATATTCATGCAAGTGAGGTATCATATAGGATCATCGTATCTTGGACTATCCAAATATATGAAAAAAGAAGGAGGATACAACTTTCCGTTAATAAGCGTCATAGTCTGGCATCCGTAAAACACAAAGTATGGAGATCGATATAGTATAAAGCGAGGTTTAACGCAGGGATAAATAACAGAAAATTTAGATTACGGTAGGGGATAAACAACTCGTCGTTTTTTTTATTGACCTGATGTAAACAGCAAATGAAAACTTCATAATAATAACCAAATATTTTTATAATGTGGGTTTGATAGAGAACTTTTATAGCTATCGAATACGCATGTAACGAACCAGAACGTTCGGGTTTGCTGAATGCCTACTTCCAAATAACGCGTTCTAATGACAAAAAATGTCAATATTACAATTCTATGTAGACAAAAAAAAGGAAAATAATTTAAAAGTCTATCATGAATAAAATCATCAATTCATGTGACAGAAAGGAAAATATATTCATTGCTACTTTTTCCAAAGTATGAAAATCTCATTTTTAATCCAGCAGTTTGTATACTGAAATATCGTTCAAACTAAGATATTTCCTACAAAGTTTATGTTCTTAATGTGTTTTTGACGTTCATTGAGCTTCGTTCAAATTGAAAGAATAATTTTTGTAATATCTTTGAATCTTTTTTTTTTGTCGGAAAAGTATTTGACGAAAAAGATTTACATGGTATATGTGGTGTTAATCATGGAACAAAAAAGAAAGATCTTAATAAAACAGGATATAAAGGTTTAGGATTCAAAGCAGTTTTTGGCAAATCCAATAAGGTTATAATCTATTCCAATGGAGAATATTTTCGATTTTATTCTTCCTATCAAATCAAACGGAATAAACAATAGGGAACTGACGATCAACAAACATGGGAGAAAGAAAATGATCGAGAATTTATTTATCCATGACAAATTAATTCTATATGGACTAAAGACAATGAAATTCCGAGTTTTATTAGAAATTTTCTAAATCAAAAGCAAAATCAAAATCATGTAGCCTATGCAATTTTATTAACTAATACTGGAGAAATTAATTCAGCTTTAAATCAATTAAAACAACAACCATATA